GGCCGTCCAATCCTCTGTGGGAATCTGCTGCCTCTGAGCGTCGAGCTTTCGACCGTCAGTGCCCCTCAAACGGCGATAAACATGGAAGATGGCCCAATAGCCTCTCGGCCAGGAGCCGCGCTGCCCCGAGTGGCGGCCTCTCCCGATGGCACGCAGCCTGGGATGAGGCGCCACTCATCGGGGGCCGGTCAACGCCCCTCCCCACCACCACCCGTCCCCGACCTCGACGACGACGACCCCGCCCCCCTCCCTCGATTGCTGGCAGCCCGCCACGGGGCCTCAACCGCCGCCCCCACAGCTCCGGAACCGGGTACTGCGAGGGCTTTGGTTTTGGCCGCACGCCAGCGGCCCCGTCCTGCTGCGGGCGGCGGCATGGGCGGTGACGCCTCGCGTCTGCCCCCCCCCCTGTCGGTGGACGGGGTGGCGGAGGGGGTAAAAGTACAACAGGAATAAGCGGGAGAGAGGTGGGGGAATAAGTGGGGAAACTCTGCTGCTGCTGCTGCTGCTGCTGCTGCTGCTGCTGCTGCTGCTGCTGTGGCAACGTCAAGCCTCTTGCTAACAGCTCCCGAAGCCGCTCACTCTGCCTTAGCATACTACTCAGAATCACTTGCCCTTGCCCGATCCGTCCAGATGCTTCCCCCGCCCCCTCTCCAGCGGGCCCCTCGGTGCCGATCCCGTGGGTCTCTCGAGGCCCCTGGGCTTCAGGAGGTACTCTGAAATCACTGCCCAAATCTCTCCGATGTGAGGGGCCCGCATCTGGATCGCCACTGTGAGCACGCCAACGCGGGGTTCGGGAGCCTCGGCCCTCGCCTTCTCGCAGCGAAAGTGGGTGGCCAGAGCCTCGATGTCCGACGGGGTCGCCTTCAGCACCACGTCCGCCCAGAAGCTCCGAAGGACGCGGTGCGGCTCGGGCGCGGGATGGCCCCCGTCTGCTGACACGTCGTCGATCGCGGCCTTGAGCACCCCGACGAAGAGGCACGCGAAGGGGGATCCTCGCGCTTTCCAGCCCACCTTCCCCCCCGCCTGCGCCTGCACCTTCAGCGCCTTGGACTGCTGGTCGTACTCCTGGTCGGCGGTGGCCATGAGCTTGCCGATGTCCGTGGGCGCCTGCTCGGGCACCTCGAACACCTCGTAGACCGAGCCCTCGAGCGCCGCGATCGCCCTGGAGTTGCTGAGGGACAGGCGGATGAGCATATTCATCGTCTTCTTGTCCAGCTTGCCGCCCGTCTGGGCGCCCGCTGGGCCATTGCCTCCTCCTCCTGGCGGTGGCTGGCTGGCCCCCTGCTTCGCGACCTTCGCCGCCGATTCGAGGCTGCTGATGGGTCGATTCATCCACGTCGGCATGCCGATGTCCGTGGGCGGCACCGCCGCCGCCGCGGCCCCCTCGCCTGGCACTGTGTCCACCGGCCAGAGGAGGCTGATGGTGAAGGGAGTGCCGCAATTCTGATCGAGTAATATACACTGGCCAAGGGAGATGCACCAAGACGCGGCTGCGGATGTCCTCGGCGTTCTTGCCTGCAAACGTGCACAATCCACACTGGCAACTCTTGGGCGCAGTCACGGGCACCAGGGAGCGCGGACAGCATCCCCCGCAGTAGCCTCTCTGGAGAGCCCCCTGCAAGCGCCTCGCTGCCATGGTCTGATTCCTGAATATTTTGGGGCAGACGGGGCACTGGTTAGAGGCAACCAACACGTGGCTGAGATTCCGAACGTGGTGCCTATGACGGAGGTGTTCCACGAGACCTTTCCTGATGGTAAACCTACATGTGCATGGTGTGCATGTGCCATCCGCCGATGCGCTTGCGGCCGTGCAAGCGCAAGGTTGCGCATGCGCTCCCCGCGCGCGATCAGCCTCTTGGACAGCAGCGGGGGGGGGGGGGGGGGGGCAACGCTGGAGGAGATGCTGCATAACTGTCTTGATGACTCCGAACTCTTCTGAAATCCAAAGCAGCGAAGCCCCTCGCGCCCCCCTCCTCCTCCCCCAGTAGACGCCACGGGCAATCCGCGATCCTTGACAAGAAGTCCTCGGCGTCGGGGCAACACTGGATGGCCTCTCCCACGTCGCCCCCGACCCTCCGAGCCCAGGGAGAGGCATACTTCGTCAACCCCGTTGCTGAACACGGCCACTGATCAGGATGTTCAAATCTCACGCCCCCCCCCCCTCCAAATAGCGCCACTAAAACCTGGATGCGCGAGCTCTGGTTCTTCGCCCAACTCCGATGCCAATGTAAACGTCGCGCCAGCAGCTCACGATAACAGTCCGTGGTTCCCCAATAATCTAAAACCTCCCGAGTTGATAATGAACGAGCGTGATCATCGTCATCTTGTGCGCGCGCGCATGCTGCGCCCATCATGGCCGCGCGCCCTAGTCGTGCAAGGTGTCGGTCCAGTAGAGAATACTGCTTCTCAGAAAGCATGAAGGATTCCGACCCCGATAACAATGACCCTTGAACTAGACCAATGAATATGACACGCCTCCATGCCTTCGGGTTCTCCATGGACCAGAAAGCGCCCATACTGTAGAACCCCGACGACGTAGCACTCATACGACATCCAAGCCCATGGGATGCCAACTGCGACGGCGTGACCAAAGGCCCGAGATAACGAGCAACATCAGAGACCAATCCTGCCAGCCGACCCCCTTGAATTCCATGGGTACGTATATACTTCTTACACTGGGGAGATCCAGGGACAGCGATGCGAAATTGTGTCACCTGTTTTGTCTTGTTCTGTACACAGCCCGTCGTATCCAGAGAGGCGTCGAATAAGTCATCAATTTAATTAAGAGAGTCGAAAACAAGAAAAGAGTCTGGAACGCTCCATGCCCCCCCCCCCCCCCCCCCCCCCCCCCCCCCCCCCCCACCCCCCCACCCCCACCCCCCCGCCCTCCCCCCCCCCCCCCCCGCCCCAACACACACACACAACACACAGCAACACACCATACACACCACACACACACACACACACACACACACACACACACACACACACACACGCAATGCATAATGGTACAATTCTAAGAAGACCATCTGCATACTTCTGATCAGACATATCTACCTTCTCACCACACCATAGGCTCTCAAGTATGCTAGTACTAGGGATCACATCTCGAACCTTCTGGGCCCAATTGGAAACAGGCTTGACGAACGCCCCCGCGAACCCCTGAACATTGAACGGGCCCCCCATCACGCCTCCACAGCCTGTCTTCACGAGCAGCGGTCCTGTCGTCGCGTCAACCTCCACGACTGAGAGACGGCACCTCTGGCGGCAAAGGACCCGATCCTCTGGGGCTGCGCGTTCCTGGGTGACTGCGCCACGTGCGGCCCAAGCCGCAGTGCCGAAAGCATTCGAGAGATCTTCCATGGCGGTGGCGAAACTCCAACCAGCCTGTCTAAGACTGAAGCCCATGGCCATGACGCTCATCACGGCATCCCTCCTCATGCGGTGTCGTGTAAACCCGTGATCTCGACGAGGAAGAGTGAGGGGTAGACGCTTCGCACACCAAGCTTTCCCAATAGATGGTAGGGCATGGATAAGACGGCGGCCGCGAGGGCCAGACATCTCATTCTTATATAACCCAACGCCTCTGCTGCGGTGCCAGTATAAAGGTGCCGAATCACACCTACGCATTTGAACCAAAGCTCGATGCATGATACGGTGACATGTATTCATCTCGGGAAGAGTCCTGGAATCCCACCCCCTGGCCTCTCTCGTGCAGCTCGACCTCTGGGGATAGGAGCATGTCCCAGATATCCAGAGGTAGCGTGCCAGGCGGGACGGCCCTTCGTTTGCCAGATTTCCTACAGCATGTACGAATCGCCTTGAAGCCCAGGGAATCCAGCTCCTCCAGGATACTTTCATCGCCAGCCGCGGCAGGGGGGGCAGGAAGATCATCATGCTCATAACGCCACTCTTCCCATGAAACCTCCTTAGCCTTCATCCCCCCTTCTCCTCCTGGAAGCGATAAAAACGATACCCAAACTGAACGATCCAGCGGGACAGGACCCAGACGACGCCTATCTCTCTGCTCGGCGCCGAAACGGCAGCGGGCAGCACGACCAGATAAGCGCATCGCGTCGGCGAGCCGCCGCGACCGCCACGCCTCCTCGATGAGTTCAACGCGCAGTGCCTCTTCAGCTCGCGATGCCCGCCTCCGCTCATCCTTAAGACGGGCTGAAAGTCGTCGAAGCTCCTTCTCAACCTCCTCCAACTCCGCCTCCGTGTTGACATCCTGCCTCCCCCCCGTCAACCGAGAACGTTCCGCCGGTAATTCCCGTCGCCGAGAGCTGTCCTGCGAGTTGGGCGCGATGGGGGGCCTGACCAAAGTGCCGAAGACCACTGGCGTGCATCCTGCGTTCGAGAGCCTCGAATATCTGATCAGGTGCACCAGTCTTGGTCAGGGACAACAGGCCCCCCCCCCATGTGCTTCCAGCTCCTGAACCACTTCTCGGAGGAAAAGGACCTTTCCCCGACCTGATCGAATCGCCTGCATCAGGGAGGAGGTGTTCATCTTGGGTGGAGGTTGTGGGGGGAGGTCGTGAGGGTCCTTTGTGTGTAATAATTCTAAATAGACAGGCACATGGTCACGAGGTGGCAATCCTTTTACAGCTTGCATTCGTGCCCCCAGCCCCCTGAGAGGATGACATCGCACAACTCGATCTTGGCATCCCCGCGAAATAAAGAGGAAATCGAACAATGAAGGACGCGATGGGTTCCCACATGAGAAATACGTATATTCCAGAGGAAAGAACGTGGCTGGGATAATCATATGCTGCTGCTCCATCAACCTCCGAACCTCTTCCCCCGCTCCCTTCCTCCTGTGCTCCTGTGTACGGGTATCTCCAACTGCCAGAGAAGGGACCGCCTCCCACGAGCCACTGATCTTAGACAAGCCGACGCCGTCGTTGAGGTCGGCGTAGAATACAGGGAGGGTGCGGGCAGGGAGGGAGTGCAGGAGATCCTTCCACCACTGAACCAGCACCTGGACCGTGGAGAAATACTGTCCTACTTCATCTCGCCGAGAAGGTTGCGGGGGGAAATATAGTGCACCATATACTACGTCTTGTGCGCCGTGCTTCACGCGTGCTGCAACTGCTCTGCCCGCTGCTCGAGGCGGTGCCGCCCACGTCTGGACAATATCACGCTCACGATACGACTTCCCACGACATACTGCACACCCCGTACTCCGATTCGTCAGAGGACCATGCTGAAAGACCGACTCGATCACAACTCGCCCCTCACACCGACGACGAAGCACCCCTCCTCTCCGACGACATGTTTCTTGAGTGCCTGCTGATAGTAACACATCTGACCCC